TTTCCTATCCATGTCCTGTACTTTTAGACAGGAGCAAATATGAGCTACAAGAAAGTTAAAATCAGAGAAAGAATCATTAAGTAATTGTAAATTTAAAATGTGAGCAATTTAATGATTAGAAATAAAATTCCATATATTCACAGCATCAGTGCCTGAGGTATGGGCTGGTTGGTGCCTTGTTTGGAGAGAAGCTATAGGTTCTGTGTGTGTGTGTGTGTGTGAGTGTACTCATACTAGGGCTTAAGGGCTGGGAAGGTGGCTCAGTGGTAGAGCACTTGCCTTGCATGCATGAGGCCCTGGGTTCGATCCCTCAGCACCACATAAAGAAAAAAAAAAGCCGGAACTGGCGCTGTGGCTCAAGTGGTAGAGTGCTAGCCTTAAGCTGAAGAGCTGAGGGACAGCGCCCAGGCCCAGAGATCAGGCCCATGACCAGACTACCCCCCCCCCCCCCCAAAAAAAATCATACTAGGGCTTGAACTCACACGCTCACCCTGTGGCTTGAACTCAGCCTGGGTCCTGTCCCTTGGCTTTTTCGCTCAATGTTGGCACCATACCACATGAGCCACAGCTCTACTTCTCTCTCTCTCTTTCCTTTCCTTTCCTTCTTTCTTTCTTCCTTCCTTCCTTCCTTCCTTTCTGTTTTTTGGTGGTTAATTGGAGGTAAGAGACAGATTTTCCTACGCAGGCTGGCTTCAAACTGATGGACAGATTTTAGTCTCCTGAGTAGCAAGGATTATAGGCATAGGCCACCTGCACCTGTCTGAAACTGTAGATTTAGATTAACTTTGTGTCTCAGTTGAAAATGGATACATATGCTTGTTAAAGTACTTCTCAGAACCTAGGGGCTCAACTAGAATAATCTGAGTAACAAAATAAATAAGCATCACATTGGATTGTAATGCCAAAGGATAAGCAAAAACCTTTAAGTTCATACTGATATAAATGGTTGGCTAAACAAGTAAATGAGGGAAGAGGAATAGTTATAAATGTAGAGAAAAGGAAAGAACTACAAAACCATCACAGGAATGTCAGTTAATATTGTGATTCATTTCCTTGTGGATCTACAGGCTGTAACCACTGATGAGCACTAAATTAGCAGGTATGACTGTTAGCAGAAAGGACTTACCTGCATTGTCTTGGGGTATTTCCTCCAGTAAGTTCATTAATAACTTTGATGATTTTAATATGTATCCACAATTATTTGATAATATTATTTCTGCTTTGGAAGGTGACTCCCTTCTGAGAAAAGCCATGTGCAAAGGGAAAATAGTAACTTCACAGTGCAGAGATCTTACCAGTGCCATCTTAATCAGGTGACTCAGGAGTACACCACAGGCAATGGCTAATTGATACACAGTGCCATGGGATAGGTACTTCATACCCATGGTGCTCCTCCTAAAAATCCATAGCCCCAATCTAATCAGGAAACAATGTCAGACAAATCTAGGTTATAGCATTTTCTACACAATATCTGACTAACCCTCCTTAAAAGTCAGGAAAGACAGAAACTTTTATAGATTAGAGGAGACAGGAAGACTAAATAATAATGTACTATCTTAGATGGGATCCTAGGAAGGATAAGGGAGAAAAAGTGAAATCCAAATAGTCCCTTGTTTAGATAATAATACTGTGACAGTATTAATTTCTTAGGATTTTTTGTTTTTATAGATTGATTGACCATACCAGGCTTGAATTCAGGATCTTGTTGGATTTTTGCTGGTTAATTGGAGATAGAATATAGATAACTTTTCTTCCTGGGTTGGTTTTGAACTCTGATCCTCTGGATTGCACTTTTATTAGTAGCGAGAATTACAGATGTGATCTACCAGCACTTGTTTGTTTGTTTTTAATAAGCTCTAAATGCTGGAATTGTAGCACTCATAATCACACCTGGTTAGTGCTTTTTAATTGTGTAAAAGAAAAAATTATCAATTCTAGACTCGTACCATGGTTCATGTCTTAAGAGACTGGGGAGGCAGAGATCAGGAGGATCAGTTAGGACCAGCCTATGTAAAAATTGAGGGTAGCTCAAGCGGTAGAGCACTTGCCTTGAACTGAAGAGTGCAAGGATAGCACCCAAGCCCAGAGTTCAAGCCCCATGACTGTCAAAAAATAATTGAGGGGAACCCTTCCTCCATCTCATCCAATAAAGTTAGACGTCATGGTGTGTGCCTGTCATTCTAGCTGTGAGGGAGGTATAAATAGAAAGAACCTCATCCAGACCAGCATAAATGCAAGACTCTATCTGAAAAATAACTAAAGCAAAAGGTAGTAGAGCTGTTTTAACAAGCCGGAGAAGGAGTTCAAACCTCAGTAGTGCCCTCCCATCCAAAAAAGCCAGTTTCTTTGATTGATAAAAGTATCATTGTTATATGAGATGTTAATAGAGAAAATGGGTAGAGTTTATGAGAATTTACCACGCTCTGAGTCTCTTTTGTGCATATAAATTCAATTCAATAAATTCAATAAAAAGTAAGATTAACTACTGAGAGAGTAGAAATAAAGGATCTAACTCCTAAAGCACTGTAAGTGCAGCAGCATGGGGAAAGGAAAATTTGATCAGCCCAACAGAAGACACAGGCAGGAAGAAAGAAAAAACTTATAGTAAATAGGCTGGGGGCTGGTGGCTCACACCTGTAATTGACGCTATTTAGGAGGCTGAGATCGGAGGATTGTTGTTCAAAGCCAGCTCAGGCTAGAAAGTCTGTGAGACTCCTGTTTCCAGTTAAACCCAAAAACTGTAAGTGGAGCTGTTGCCCAAATGGTAGAGTGCTAACCTTGAGCGAAAAGCTAAGGAACTGGGCCCAGGCCCTGAGGACTCCACACACAAAATATAATATATACATATTTGCAACTCTATATACATGGAAACCTGGAGTAGCAAGTCAGAGAAATTATACCATTTATATTACGTTATAAATTCTTCACAATTAATATTAGCTAATTACCTTAATGAAGTTAATATTATTACTCATAGCCCTATATCAAAAACAAAAAAGTTCAGCTTGCAAAGTAGTAAAAAGTCAATTACATGCCACTTATAAAAGACACAAAATTAAATGATATAGAGAGGTTCAGAATAAAAGGATTTGAAAAGCTGAGAGCTGTGTAACAGAAAAAAACTGAAATTTGAGGTAAGAAGCATTAAAAAAGTAACTTACATTTCATATATATTTTCTCTAATTGTTTCTGATTCCTCAGTGAGACCTGGGAACACACATCTAGTAGGCAGAAAGTGGACTACACCATGTGGGAATGGACAAAGTTTATTAAAACATCATATGTTTATATACAGCATAAGGGCATAGAAAGTAAGTCTGTAGTCATAGGGCAGTCACAGGACAATCATGGGACAGAAAGGTAACTTTAAACAATTTTTGGAGAATGCAGGCAATAAAAGTTAACAACCTTTAATCAGGGAGCAGGAAGAGTTGTCAAGAAGGGTGTTTCATGTGATCGAAGATAATAAAGAGAAAGCAAGGTGCAGGTGGGGTCCATTAAAAAATGCTAAAGGAATCTTGAGGCATTGTTCTATGGAATTTTTTGGAGGGCACATTCCTCATGGCCTCCACCAAGGTCATTGCCAGGCATCCAGATCTTCGTCCAGATAGGGGAAGAGCTTCCTATTCCATCCTGGAGGCTGAAGCTGGGTACCTCAACCTTTGCCAGGGTTGTGGAGGAGTGTTCTCCTCATTCGCTAGCATACATAAACCTCACACAACATAGGAATCCTAAGGTGGGGTCATGCAAGTCTATATCTCTGACATCTAATAATTATCAGTATATAATTATCTACACTAACATATTGTGTTAATAGATTATATAGTACATATTGCTATTACACGTACGTAAAAATAATAAATATGAGGCTCTAAGTACATGAGCCATGATTAGCAATAGAATATGAAGTTAGAGAAACTGGTAAATGGACAAAACCATAATTAGGGAAATTGAACACTTCTACAATGAAAGATTAAACAGACCAAACTAAGAAAGTAACAGCATTTGCTGTAGAGGATATAGAGAGCTTTGTGCCTAACAGAAACTAGGCATTATATCCACAGAACATTAACAACGTTTATATTAGGCTGTGAAGAAAAAGTCCCCAAATTGTAACATGTAGACATTGAGCCAGATACATTTGTAGTTGACAGTGCGTGAAATAAAAATGAACACCCTTGAAAATTAAAGAACCTTTATGTAAGAATTTCATAAATAGAAATATAAGCTGTAACTATAAACTAGCAATGAGTAGACACAAATGCACTCTACCTCAAATTTGGTGGGATGCAATAAAGAGCCCTGCAAAAGGACTTTTAGTTCATCTGCTGTTGTGTCTAATAGAAGTTTCTGCAATTTCGAAACTCTTTTGTAATTGTGCTGTCTGAGATGATAGTCACTTATATATGGATATTGAGACAGGCTAGTACAGTTGAGCTGAATTTCAAACTATACTGGGACACACAATTATATAGGCTCTAAAAAAGTATTACTAGAAAAAAAGAACAATTGCTAATTTCTAGTTGGAAAGCAGGATGAATTGAGTAAAAATTACGTATTTTAAAATTCCAACACAGGGACTGGGAAGGTGGCTCAGTGATAGAGTGCTTGCCTGGCATGCATAAGGCCCTGGGTTCGATTTCTCAGCACCACATAAGCAAAAAGAAAAAAACCGGAAGTGGTGCTGTGGCTCAAGTGGTAGAGCGCTAGCCTTGAGCTGAAGAGCTGAGGGACAGCGCCCAGGCCCAGAGTTCAGGCCCCACGACTGGACCCCCCCCCCCCAAAAAAAAAATTCCAACACAAAAATATAAATGAAATGAGAATATGACAAAGTAAACAGGACTCAAGAAACAAAGGATCTCTTCTTAATTTGTTGCATCGTTTATAGATGACTCTGTGTTCTTGACCCCACATTTCGTACATACATGTGCACATCAGAGGGAAGCTAGGAGGTGGTCACAGAATCAAAGGAAAATAGGAGGAGGATGAGGAGGAAGAGGATGAGGAGGAAGAAGCAGCTAGTGCCAGTTACTAAAGAAGCAGAGGTAGGTGAATGGAAGTCTAAGGCAAGCCCAGGGCAAAATTGAGAGACATTATCTGAAAAACAGACTAAAAGCAAAGGATTAGAGTAGTGGTTCAAATGAGTTCAAGAGCAGTTCAATGTCTAATATCACCATAGAAAAAAAGAATTTTCAGTAACTCAATGGCAATCATATTAGCCAGTTGTTCAAAATTTTTTTCTGTTATGTATATAAAAGTAATTTTCACAAATGATTCACTAGCCAATTCTCTTTAAGTAATAAATTCATTATGTTATCTATCTTACCCATGATATTAACTGTAAACCTCATAGCTATATATATAACACATGATATTAACTGTAAACCTCATAGCTATATATATATATATATATATATATATATATATATATATAATGGATTTCTAAAAACATACATAGGCAAGGCTAGGCATGATAACTCTGCCCTGTAATTCCAGATAATTAGAGAATTGTGGTTCAAGGCTGACCCAAGTAAAAAGCAAGACTCCATTTCAATTAATAAGCTGAGCATTGTGGCATAAACCTGTCATCCTAGTGACATGGGAGGTTCCTCAAATTTAAGGACTGAGTAGACAGTCAGGAAAAAAGTAGCTAACATTCAGAATATGTAAAACTCTTAACAGAACAATCAGAAAAAGGCTAACCATAAATAGGCAGATGCACAACAGTATGCATAATAAAATAAGGATGCATAATAAATAGATAGGAAATACAATGCACAATAGAAATGCATGATTTACTCAAATGAAAAGGTATTCACATTACTTAAAGTGTTTTCCACCTAATAATATTGACAAAATTTTCAAAAAAAACTAATAATAGTCCATCTTATTAAGGGTTTGTGAAAATGAGTACTATATATACTATTATTGAGAACAAAATTTTTAAAATCTTTCAAAGAAAACAGTTTACAGCATCTAAGTCGACAAACAAAAGCAAACAGTTCCTGATCTTGCAGTGTTCTAGGATACATGCTTATTTGCATAAATGGGTACTCATAAAGGCTTTTGTTTCAATATTATAATGACATACAAATCCATCATTAGAATAGTTCAGTTAATTATTATCATTGGAATTGAGAAAGACTGGATCAGTTACAGATAAACACATTCATCTCAGATCCCAATAGATGATAGAAAACCTTTTTGAAAAGAAAGTCTGTAACATCCTAGAAAATAAGGATACTTTCAGCAAGCCAGAATTCTTTTTTTTTTTTTTTGGCTGGTCTTGAGGCTTTAATTCTGGGCACTGTCCCTGAGCTGCTTTGTGCTTGGGCTAGTGCTCTACCACTTTGAGCCACAGCACCATGTCTGGCTTTTTTTTGAGTAATTTGTTGGAGATAAGAGTCTCATAGACTTTTCTGCTTGAGCTGGCTTTGAACTTACAGTCTTCAGATCTCAGCCTCCTGAGCAGCTAGGATTAGAGGTGTGAGCCACTGGTACCCAACTCAGAATTCTTGATGAGTTGTTGAACTATATTGTTAAATAAAAAAGACTTGAAAAATAAAAGTAGCTGTATGCTGGTATATTATACTGGTATGTTTGACATAACATACCTATCTTGAACTGGAAGAGTGGTTCAAGTTGTAGAGAAGTAGCTGTGGACAAGAAGGCCAAGTAAGAACATAAGTCCTCAAGTTCAAGTCCTAGCACTGGAAGCTTTACTTTCCTCTAAACTTACCTAGTTTTTGTTTCCTCATCTGTTCTTCCCTTCAGGCTCTGGGAAACCAGCCCGAGGCTGCCACACACTTGCACCAGAGCACCACCTCCTGCAGACCTGTGTTTTTGCCAGGCTGGTGACATTCCCTTCCCACAAGGATTTCCAGTTCATCCATTTCTCTTGGCTTAAACTCCCTTCGACTCTCAAGTCTATTTTTTCAGGAGGAATTTTTTGTCTGGCATTTCAAATTATCTTTTACTTAGTTCCATTTATTTAATTATTGGGCAACTCAAATCATTAGGCTTTTTTCATGGATTGTGTTTATTAGCTCTAGAGAATTAACCACAGAGAAATAAAAGGTGAAGATGGAAATTTTATTTTTATTACTGTACTTAAAAATACTCCCAGGTGTAAGTAAAGAAAAAAATTGGTCCCTAACAATGGAATTTGAATAACATGAATATTCCATTCAGATAACTTCTTTCAGTTTTTCTTAGGATTTGGGAATCCAGATCATTGCCTGTTTTCTGGAATATGTTTCACCTAAATAAATTGATAAATTGTGTGGAAAGGTCACTAGTTTGTTTTTCTTTGTAGGAAACAGATTTTCCAGCAGGAAAAGGGCATACGGGAGACTGGATGGTAAGAATCTTACTTATTGTTAATGAGATAAGAGAGAAATTTGTAAAATTGCAGTAGAACATTAGTAGGCTAAAGTCTGACAATTGGCATAGCTTCCAGATGGTCACTCCCCCAGTACTGGACATGAAATTACTATTTCCTGCCCAAAGGTACCTCTAATGTGTTCTCCATCCTCTGTAGAGTAGTTATTGTGTTACTTTTACCTCTTATTTCATCCTCACAGACATGATGGTTTTTCCTAGATGTTAACTATATGGTGTTTCTGTTTCTTTCTATTTCAGTCAAAACTAGATCTTTTATTAGTTGGAGATGTCAGTGTTCACCACCTGGCTTGCGCTGTACAGAAATTCTTTTCAAATACCCAGGAAGTAACCATCACCATTTGTGATGCAAAGAAGGCAGCCACACTTGTGAACAATTGCGTGTTTAATATGATTTTCCTGAGGATTACTCCTGTCCTAACTGCTGAGGAACTGGAAGCTATCAAGTCGATCAGGTACCCAGTAAAACCTTCACTCTACGGCGATAGATTTTAAAACATCTTCCTATAAAACATCTTCCTATAAAAATCTTTAAAAATTGGTTTATTTCTACTTTATAAAGTAAAGGATGTTATTGTGGACAGGATCCATATGCATGTCAGTTTCTGTTACTAGTTAAGACAATATCACTGTAAGAACTATCATTTAAGTTGAGAAGTAATAGGTACAAGGGAAAATTAACTGGACGAAGAACTTTTTCTTGGTATTAAGGCTTCTAGTTCTCTCATATGTATGCTTTCTCCCCCTAATACCTGCCATTAAAATGGCCCATCTTTGCAGAGGTCGCCAATTGTTTTGGCAGATATTGGAGCAGGCAAACACGCTCAACTGCATGCCATGGTGCCTGTGGGCTGAAGCTATCTCTTGGAGCCATGAGTGGATCCATCAGGTCTATGCCCTACCTTCTCCAACATTGCTGTTTTTAGGGCTCTATATAAATTCTGCTTTTGTATGGCCCACTCCAGCTCCCGAGAACTGGGGGAAAAGTTACAGTGGGAAAGTTATGGTCTTCCTAGCCGATATATAGAATTTTGAAGTACTCAAGAGATGTGTTTCAACAGAGTGAGATCAGAATAAATTTGACCTCCTATGAAAATATCTGATAGAGAAATTAGAATTATGGATAATACTGGAATATATGAGAGAATTATAGCTCCTAGGCTTTTCTATGCTAAAATAGAAAGTTTAGAAATAATTTTTTTGATTGCTGAATGAACAGGAAGAGCAACCAAATATGTGAAGGGATAATAGGAGTTGGATGGCAAGAAGCCCAGGCTATTGAGTCACTCATTAGGAAAAGATAGACAGACACTGTTCCTTTGGTGTCTTAGAACAACCTCTCCCCCTTACTTCTCACAGACTTCTCATGTGCTGGGCAGTTGTTTTGCTACTAAGCTATACTCTTGGCCCTTTTGTATTTCTTTGATTTTCCTACTGGGAATGTGAACTTTTGACAAACCAGGCAAACTGTCTTCCTCAAATGGGATCCCATCCCATTATGAACTGTGCTTCTGAGCATATACTTATTTTTTTATATACCTTTAAAAATCTGCTAAAGAATTTCCCCAGCTGAGGTCTCATTACAGTATCTCATTTGTATAGTATTTTTGCTTTTTAAAACATCTCTATGAAGTGGGTAGGGTGGTTTTATTGTCTGTATTTTGACAGATGAGAAAACTGAGGCTGAGGTTTTGCTTTGTGTTTGTGAAAATACAGTGTTTTCACAAAACTCAGCTAGAACTCCTTCCAGTTTCTTCAGGTTCTTTCTAAACATATGTAATCATTTGACTTTTGAGTTGGAGCCACCTCTTTACACCTGTGAGATTCAATAGTATAATCCAAACATATGGCTTAGTTCTGGAAGGACACTGGACAAAGCATTATGATAGGGTTCTTTGTTCCAAAAGTAGGATCCTTACTGTACATCTCTGAATGGAGTAAAGCATTATTGTTGCTCATTATTGAAATTCTGTTGCATTCTGTTTATTTAACCCTGTGGAATATGTTTATATTTTTAATGTGCAGTTTTCCTTAGGATGGGTCTTATACATGTTCTGTTCTATTTATAAAATCTTTTTTTTGAACCACTGTATCTTTTGGGCTTGGAATAAAATAATGACTATCCCCAGATGAATAGTTTGTCTTAGCCTTTATTCTATTTTATAGTAGCTTTTCTTTTCTCCTTAGATAATTTGTACCTTGTAGTACCTCAAAGGCTTCAATTTCTTCCTCTCTAGATTCCTCCCCTTCCAGGAAATGAGGAACTTGGTTTGGAGTAAAAGTGTCCATTTTTTTTTACAGCATTAGAGCATATAATTACAAGTATATGTATGTATAATGCATATGAATTTTTATTGAAAATAGTTATGTTTATCCTATTAGATAAATTTAGGTTTATTTTAGAATTAAACGAAAGCCAACTACTTAAACATGTTAAAACTTATTATTAGAGAACTGTTTTAAGCTCAGTGTTAATCATTGATCAACTTTAGTCATTAATAAAATATCAGTACTTTACAAACACATTCTCAAGAATTATAGCAATGACATATTTTGAGTATAGGTTAAGATTTCTTTTTTGGGGGGAGGGTGTCTGGTCATGGGGCCTGAACTCTGGGCCTGGGCGCTGTCCCTCAGCTCTTCAGCTCAAGGCTAGCGCTCTACCACTTGAGCCACAGCGCCATTTCCGGCTTTTTTCTTTTTGCTTATGTGGTGCTGAGGAATCGAACCCAGGGCCTCTGGCATGCAAGGCATGCGCTCTACCACTGAGCCACCTTCCCAGTCTCCCCTTTGCCAATTTCAATTAAACACTTTGGCCTATAAGAGCAGGGATCATCCCTCTCTGCCTTTCTGATCTCATCTCATCATTATCTTCCTTAGGAATTCCAGGCTAGGGCACCTAGACTTTGGTCACTTTCTTAAGTTACTTTGAGCCCCACTTCCCAGGAAGGAATGCTGCTGCCTTTGTCCAGAATGTTCTCTGCTTCCCACTCTGTCCCAGTTCCCACTTTCACTGTGACTGACCCCTAGCCAACTGTGGAGGCCAGTCTGTCTAGAGGCTTTTCCTGAGATTGTAGAGAGGATCAAGACTGCAGCTTGTGCTCCCATGTATCCTGTGTCCTTCCTTCACATTGGTAGACACATTTTGGGCTAGTTATTTATCTTCAGTGATTTGTTTAGCTTCTCTTCTTCCCAAGAAACAGTTAACCTAATGAAAGCAGGGATCTTGTCTATTTGCTTACCATTGCATCTCTCAGAACTTTGTACAGTCTGCTCTGAATAATAGCTTCTCAGTACCCCTGATTCAGAACATATAAACTACATATAGTCAAGTACTTCATGTCTGCAGACTCTGCCTTATTGCGGTTTGAAAATATTGTACTAGCTTGTACAGACCACTTCTTTATGACATCATTCACTAAACAATTGAAGTCATTATTTATGTAGCCTTTAAATTGCACTAGGTATTATAAGAAGTTTATAAATGAGTTAAAGTATTCAGGAATATGCACATGCTTCACTATGTTTTTAATAAGGGACTTGGGCATCCAGTGATTTTGTTTTTTGGTGTCCCTGGGAAATCTTGGAACTCATTTACTATGGATACACAGAGATGGATAAATGGTCAATTTTGGAATATAGAATAATAATATAGAATAATACATTCAGACAAACTATCAGTAATACCAGTAGGAATTTTGCTAGTTCCTGTATTAATGGATAAATAATAATCATATATAACTATGTACTACTAAATAACACTTTGTTTTGTTTTTGTGCTGGTCCTGATGTTTGAACTCAGGGCCTGAGCACTGTCCCTGTGCTTCTTTTAACCAAGGCTAGTGTTCTACCACTTGAGCCACAACTCTGCTTCTGGCTTTTTGGTAGTTTATTGGAGAAAAGAACCTCAGACTTTCCTGAGTGGGCTCGTTTCAAACCTCAGTCCACAGATCTTAGACTCCTGAGTAATTAGGATTTCGGGCATGAAATAACAGTGCCTGATGTAAATAATATTTTACCATATTTAAGAATAATTTGTTTTTCTTAGGTACTTTTAAGTTTTGCTTTTGTCAGTATTGTCTTTAGAAAATCATTTCATTTTAGCAAATGTCAAAGTTCAGCTGACTTAATGCACCCCTGAGTCTAGTTAACTTTAATTCTGAAACTTTTAAAGATTTATTTTGAAAACCTAAATATATAAAAGTAGAATAAAAAGATGCATATCCAGGTCCCCATAATGCAATGTCTGGCCAGTCTTGTTTTAGCTCTGTTCTCTCCCAAGGTCCTTTGTCCATCCGTGGATTATTTTAAAGCAAATCTGATATTATTTTGTTTCATACATAGTTTAGTAAGTTCCTCATGAAGAAAGGCACTAAAAAAGTTAACTTACAATATTGATATCATACCTGAAATGACTAATTCTTTAATATTGACAAAATACTTAGTAAATATTCATTTTTCTGCTGATTTAAAAAACTATATACAAATTAGGATTCAACTAACCTGTTTTTTAAAATCTTTTTTGTTGTTTATATGTTTTTATTTAGTTAGATATATTTATTCTATATATCTTTATTTCTTTTTCTTTTTTTTCTTTTTGGGCCAGTCCTGGGACTTGAACTCAGGGCCTAGGTACTGTTCTTTAGCATTTTCACTCAAGGCTAGTACTGTATCATTTGAGCCATAGCTACACTTCTGGCTCTTTGGTGGTTAATTGGAGATAAAAGTCTCAGGGACTTTTCCTGCGCAGGCTGGCTTTGAGTATAATCCACAGATTTCAGTTTCTTAAGTAGCTACCATTACAGGCATGAGCCACCAGCATGCACCTCCTATGTATATATTTAAAGGTATCCTTTGTCTTCTATAATTTCCGAAATTCTGGATTTTGCCCATTTTATCCTTACAGTGTTCCTAAAAATACTCCTTTTTCTCCAAGTTTCTTATAAACTTAACTGATAAGTAACTAAAAAAAGTGAATAAGGTCTAAATTATTTTTCCTTTTTTAAGTATAAGTCATTTCCCTCACTGATTTGAGATGTTATTTTTACTAAATTTCCATATTAATGCCATTGTTTTAGGTTTTAAGGGAATAAAGAAAATCACTGTAGTTTAGCTTCTAGTAATTAAGGTAGAATCCCAGTTGTCTGAATGTTGATTTTGCTTAATTATAACTTTTCTTTCTCTCAGATTTGGCAAGAGGGAAAATATACATTTGCTGTTTGTTTTTATAATCCCTGAAAATTTTAAAGGTATGTATCTGCTGGATATAGCATTTGTTTTTCCTTCAAATAGAAATCCTAAGGTCACTATGTAACCCACAGATTCTTAGGTTGTGTTTCAGGGTATGGAGCTGATATTACTTTAAGTGAACCACTGACAATGGAAAAAATGAATATTGTGCTAAAATACTGGAGAGCATATTTCACAAATAGTGGTAAGTTAAAAATAAGTTTTTAAAAGATTGAAAAATTCTACATAGAATTCTGTGAAAACTATGTTTGTACTTTTTTTTTTTTTTTGGGTCCAGTCGTCCAGTCGTGGGGCCTGAACTCAGGGCCTGGGCGCTGTCACTCAGCTCTTCAGCTCAAGGCTAGAGCTCTACCAATTGAGCCACAGCGCCACTTCCAGCTTTTTTCTTTTTGCTTATGTGGTGCTGGGGAATTGAACCCAGGGCCTCATGCATGCAAGGCAAGTACTCTTCCACTGAGCCACCTTCTCAGCCCTGTTTGTACATTTTTTAAATGAACTTTCCACTAAGCACTTTATTTTCTTAGGTTTAACTGTTTTCTATGTAATGAATAGGTAATCTTTTTAGGAGACTAGGTAGTATTTTTAGGAGAAAATAGGTGTCAATAAAGAAAAAAATACATGACATCTTCAGAGGTTTACAATGTGTTGCATAATAAGCACATAATATAAACATAATATACAATATGTGTGATAAGCACATAGCTTTTGTTGTTTTATTTTGTTTTAGCGAAATTGTTTCCTTTTTTTGTAAACTGACTACCATTATTTCTTATTCATTTAAATGAAACCAAGGTAGTAACCTGGAATTCAATACTTCCTTTATTGTAAAATAGTTGCACATAAATTTCCTCTTGTGATAAAGAGCAATTATCCTTTATCTTTTAGATTCTTAGACACAGAGAATTAGTGTCAACACTTCAATGAGACATCACATTGCTAATCTCTTTACCTGTTTTATTATGTGTATTGCTAATGTCTAAACATTGATTAAATTAGCTCTTCTTGTCAAAGAAGAACAGATTCCATGTCTGAAGTTCAAGGACTACAGGAATTAATATTGGTCAGTGACTTTGGTTGTTGTAGGCTTGTGGATAAACTTAAACATCTTGTAGAGCTAAGATGAGATCAAATGGAGAGATATTGGTCTGGGATACAAAGTTTTAGCTGTGTAAGATGAGTAAATTCTGGAGATCTAATGTACAGCTTGGTGACCACAGTTAACAGTACTGTACTGAATACTTAAAACTTACTATCAAGGTGAATCTATAGTGCTCCTATCACATGCACGAGAAGAAAACAAGGAAAATAAATAATTACCTTACCTATCAAAGGTAAAGTATTTAACTTGATTGAAGTTATTCATAGTATCTGTTTATATCATCTTCTGTTATCCACCCTAAATATATTATAATTCTCAATTGTTAATTATACTGCCATAAGGCTGGAAACATTTTTTTGTACTGTTACTGGGCCTTAAACTCAGGGCCTTGAGCTCTCACTTGCTTTTTCTACTCAAGGCTGGCACTCTGCCACTTGAGCCACAGATCCACTTGTAGTGTTTTGATAGTTAATTGGATCTAAGAGTCTCAGACTTTCCTGCCCAGGCTGGCTTTGAACCATGATCCTCAGATCTCAGCCTCCTGAGTAGCTGAGATTATAGGGGTGAGCCACCAGTATCTGACTAGAAACTTTTTTTTTAGCGTTTATATTTTTAAATTGTTACTGTAAAAGTGACATACAGAGGGGTTACAGCTACAGTTACGTAAGTCAGGTAATGAGTACATTTCCTTTTTTAAAAAATCAATTTTTAAAAAATTGAAGTTGAGATTATAGTTTTTCTTGAAATCTATCTGGAAATACTTTCCAGGATTATTATGTGTAAATGTCTTCTCCAGATGAAACAAGATTCAACCCACCTGCTTTTTGAACTGCTATTTTTAAATATTCAGATGAGTGAATGTGCTCTGTGGACCCTTTGATAGTTTTTCACTGTATGTGGCCGGGCATGGTGGCCAAGTTCTCTTTTGTGGTCTTTCCTTATGTGGTTTTCAGTGGAAATAGAGCAGCTGCTCATTCATTACCTGCCCAGCTTCTTGCTATTGGTCATGGCCATGTCTGCTTCCAGTTGTCTCATCTTTACTCCAAGGATGAGCAGCTGCAAAAAATACTTTTTCCAGAGACCATATTTTGATAATGCAGCTGCTTAATGAAGACTCATGCATATTTTTTGTCTTGACATTTACCTATAAATAGGACCTTGATAAGTAAACTCAGTTGAATGTTTTAAGCACACCTGTCACCATGCTCCTAGAATGTGATTGTAAAGAAGATACCCTAAGGTAAAAAGTACATAGTGTTCTAGTTCCACTTTCTAATCTGATTGGTTTTATGCTTCACTAACTAAAATCTATAAATTGCCTTCTGTTAAAAATGCTGCTTTGTAAAATCATTATTAGTGATTTTGGAATTAAAATGGGTCTCTTTTAAAAGGTTCGGTTAAGAATGAAAATTCTCTGAGGACTGAACAACGTGGATTTTCCCTGCGGAGCTCAAGCAGTAAACCTCTGGAATATTTTTCTTCCAATCTATTTACTCGGTTAGTTTCTGTTATACTTTTTCATATTTACAATTTTTATGGTCGGCATTTCACTAAAAAGATATCTGGAGGACATGTGGCTTATGATGCTCATTTAAATATTGAGGGTAATGCAAAAAATAGTTCTTTTGTAGAAGGATGAAAAATTTTCTGTGTTTCAAGACTACATATACTAGCTGGGTACTGATGGCTCATGTCTGTAATGCTAGCCACTCAGGAGTCTGAGATCTGAGGATCCCTGTTTGAAGCCAATTTGGACAGCAAAGTCTGTAAGATTCTTATTTCCAATTAACACCCAAAAAGTTGGAGGTGGCTCAAGTGATAGAGTATCAGCCTTGAGCAAAAGAGCTAAGTGACAGTGCCCAGGCCCCAAGTTCAAAGCCTTATACAATTGCAAGGTAGTAAGTTCTCTAGTGGGGAACTTTATTAGTGTTAGGATCTGGGTAAATCTTTCTTCAAGCAGAAATTCGGAGCCCCAGTATTAAACAGGCAAGAGCAGTATGACTTACTTGTTACCTACTGTCTTTCTCCTTGTCGTCTTTTTAAACTTGTGAGCTCACCACCCCTGTTTCTGAAAAACACCCTTACAAAAGAATTTTGAGATTCTGTTAGACACTCATGTAGCTTGTAGGATAATGTTGATAGGCAGAAAAGTTTTGGTTTGTTGGTCTTTTTCCCTAAAAGAATTAAAAACTGGCATTTAAACCTGCATTGAACAGGCTATTGGCCATGGTGAGATCCTTCTAATGCTAACATTGATAGCTCATAGAAGTTTCATTTTTGTTAATTTTGCCCTTTGAGCTGATTTTCAAGGAGACTTAGGGCTTCACATAGTGGTAGAAGAGCAAAGGCCAGCGGTACTGGAAGTGGTGAGAAATTTGAGCCATTTCCGGAATTTGTAGAATGTAGCCACCTACTGTTTTGAACAGGGATGGTATTTGGCAGCCTGTTAATTGTGGGTGAACCAAAGATGAGCTCACTCAAGTACTGCACAGAGAGCAACAGCTTTATGTATCTTATTTAGCATTTTAACCTCAAAGAGCCTTACTATACCTAGCAGATGATATCTTATCTGGGATATGATTGTGAAGGATATCATGATTTTTTTTTAATATTACTTAAAAGTAGTCTCTACTTATGTTGAATCTTAAGTCTTCCCTTAGAGTTTTACCATGATAAAATAAAAGTAAAATTTCAAATCTAGTTATATCTTGTTGGGTAAAGTAAATAGGATTGGTTTACAGATTTCTTTTTTTTTTTTTTGGGGTCCGGTCATGGGGCCTGGGCGTTGTCCCTTAGCTCTTCAGCTCAAGGCTAGCACTCTACCACTTGAGCCACAGTGCCACTTCCAGCTTTTTCCTTTTTGTTTATGTGGTGCTGAGGAATCGAACCCAGGGCCTCAGGCATGCAAGGCAAGCGCTCTACCACTGAGCCACCTTCCCAGCCCGGTTTACAGATTTCTTAAGTTAATGTTTTTGTTTTTGTTTTTTGTTTTTTAAGTTCTGGGCCTGGTCACTGTCCCTAACTTCTTTTTACTCAAGGCTAGCACTCTACCACTTAAGCTACAGAACCACTTTCAGTCTTTTCAGTGATTAATTGGAGATAGTCTCATGGACTTTAGAGATATAGGCATGAGCCACCAGTGCCCAGCTAATAATTTTCTTTTTTTTTTTTTGTCAGTTGTGGGGCTTGAACTCTGGGCCTGAGCACTGTCCCTCAGCTCTTAAGCTGAAGCACCACTTCTGGTTTTCTGATGGTTTATTGGAGATAAGAGTTTCATGGCGTTTCCTTCCCGGGCTGGCTTTGAGCCATGATCCTCAGATCTTAGCCTCTTGAGTAGCTAGGATTACAAGCGTGAGCCACCGGCACCCGGCCCTAATAATGTTTTTTTAATTAATAAAAATCATGTCTGAGGAAAACTAGTAGAGCTAGAAAGAATCCATTAGATGACAAGTTTGTGTGTGTGTCTGTGTGTGTGTCTGTGTCTGTGTGTGTGTCTGTGTCTGTCTGTGTGTCTGTTGGTCATGGGCCTGAACTCTGGGCCTGGGCACTGTCCCTCAGCTCTTCAGCTCAAGGCTAGCGCTCTACCACTTGAGCCATAGTACCACCTCCAGCTTTTTCTGCTTATGTGGTGCTGAGGACTCGAACCCAGGGCCTCATGCATGCAAGGCAAGCATTCTACTACTGAGCCACCTTCCCAGCCCTAGATGACAAGTCTTAAAATGGAGAAACCTTGACTTTACTGATCAATTTGGAATTGGACAGGTCCTAGCTGTTGAATCCTTCATAGGTCTTGTAGTTTGCCTGCCTTTCTGCTCTATTACTTGTAATAGGGTTCTGTTGCAATAAAAACCATTACCAGTTGAAAAATATAAATTAAAAATACATTTATTATACCTAACCTACTAAACATAATAGCTTAGCCTAAGCAATCTTGTCAGTACTGAACTTGAACCCAGAGTCTTGAATTTAGGGCCTTGAATTCTGGTGTGGTTTTTTCACTTAAGGCTGGACCTCTACCTCATGAACACACCTCTATTTCCAGCATTTTGATGGTTAACTAGAGGTGAGAGTCTCACAGATTTGTCTGCCCTACCTGGCTTCTAACCAAGATCCTCAGATCTTAGTCTCTTGAGTAGTTAAGATTACAAGTGTAAACTACCAACACTTGGCTTTTTAGTCTAGGCAATCTTAATCTTACTCAGAAAGCATTTACTTATAGTTGAATAGAGTCAGCTAGTACAAAGCCTATTTAGGAGCATTGAAGATGTTCACTAATTTGAATCCTATACTGAAAGTGAAAATGGCATGGTGGTATTGGTATGTTTTCACACTATCATAAAGCCAAAGAATTGGAAATGGAACCATAGTCATTTGGGATTGTAATCAATGAAGTTAGAAATTTTCATTTTGATTTTATCTGTCATATTGTACCAGTGCACTTTAGAAGTTTGATCAGTCATTGATTTTGTGATGATTTTAATATATTTTTTGAAATATTGAATGACAACATGCTTACACTATATATAAGGTATGAAGCAAAAGACTTAGAGAATCATCATTTGATTAGTGAATTGGTGCTTGTTGTTTAATATTGCCTGACAATCTTCCTCTTTAATGTATGATGTGATTTTTCTCTGATTTCTAGCACTAAATCTGTAAGACATGACATTAAACTTGAATTAAATGCCTCATTATCAGATTTTGAGAACAGCAAAAAGATTTTTCTTCATTCAAGCAAAGAGAAGATGAGAAGGTAAATATTGATGCGGGCCTTTAAAATTTTTTTAAATTGTTATAAAGATGATGTACAAATCTTTCCATTTCCTTAAGAATGATACAATATCATTCTTTTTGATAAGCATAGAATTTTGTTGTGTATGTATGCCACATTTTCTCAATCCGTTTGTCCACCGAGGGGCATCTGAGTTGATTCCACTTCTTGGTTGTGGTAAACAATGCTGTAATGAGCATGGATGTGCTAGTAGCTTTAGTGTGGCCTTGTTTGTGGTCTATTGGATAAATGCCCCGGAGTGGATTGCTGGGTCATAGGGAAGCTCTATGTTTAGTCTTTTGAGGAACCTCCATACAACTTTCCACAGTGATTGAGTAAATTTACATTCCCACCAACAGTATAGTAGAGATCACTGTCTCCCCCCAACCTCCCAACTCCACTTGTGTTATTTTAGTTTTGTTGATAGTGGCCATTCTAACTGGGGTGAGGTAGAATCTCAATGTTGTTTTGATTTGCATTTCTTGTATGGCCAGAAATGTTGAACATTTCTTCATGTGTCTATGGGTCATTCTTACTTCTGAGAAGTCTTTCTGTAAGTCATTTATTAATTGGGCTGTTGTTTCTTTGAGTGTTATTTTTGGTGTGGTTTGATAGGTTGCATGGTTGCTTTCATTTGAATGTGCCTACAAATCTACAAGTAAATACAATGGATGGTAAAAGACAAAAAATAAACTTAGACGTGATAAATAATGCAGGATTCTAGACATTCACACAGTGAGACCAAAGGATATTCTTAGAAGAGGATCACAAAGGCTCAATAGCTATGTGCATATAATCATATAAAATGATGTTTATCAAAATAAACTCCCAAGAAATGAAAATGAGGCTTTTTTTCTCCTTTGTCTCTGTTTTTGATTTCTGACTTTTGTCTTGTATGTAAGTTTATCTGTTTGGGGGAGGTTAAGGTGAGAAATGGTGAGACAAAGGGTGAACAAATGCAGGAACAAACGGATTATATAACTTATGGTAAGGGAATACCTAGGACTTAACAAAGAAGTGAAGGACCTTTAAAAACCTGAAGAAGGAAATCAAAAAAGATCTAAGGAAGTGGAAAAACCTCCCATGATCCTGGATTGGGAGGATTAACATCGAGAAAATGGCAGTACTGCCAAAGGCTATCTATTCAATGTGATACCTATCACTATCCCAACATCATTCTTCAATGAAATAGAAGCAATCCAAAAATTCATATGGAACAATAAAAGAAACCAAATAGCAAAAATAATCCTTAGCAGAAAGAACAGTGCTGGAGGAATATCAATACCAAACTTCAAACTCTACTACAAAGCCATAGTAATCAAAACAGCTTGGTATTGGCACAAGAACAGACCTCAGGACCAATGGAATAGAACTGAAGACCCACAAATGAACCCACAGATGAATAGCCACCTAATCTTTGATAAGGGAGCTAAAAAAATAGAATGGAAGAAAGACAGCCTCTTCAGTAAATGGTGCTAGCAAAATTGGTTAAACATCTGTAGAAAACTAAAGCTAGATGCTTTTGTATCAACCTACACCAGAATCAACTCCAAATGGATCAAAGACTTTGAAGTCAAAGCAGACTCCTGAAAACATTACAGGAAAGAATAGGAAAAACTCTAGGGCTCCTTAGCACAGGCTGAAATTTTCTTAATAAAGACCCAGAAACACAAGAAATTAAAGAAAGGTTGTACAAATGGGATTGCATGAAGCTGCAGAGTTTCTGCATGGCAAAGGACATAGCTAGCAAGATCAATAGAAAGCCCACAGACTGGGAAAAGATCTTTACTAGCCATACAATAGACAAGGGTCTCTAAAATATACTTAGAACTAAAAAAATTAAATCCCCCAACAACAAATCCTCAAAGAAACAACTGTCCCATTAATAAGTGGGCTAAAGACTTAAAGAGAAGCTTCTCTGAAAAGGAAATAAGAATGGCCAATAGACACATGAAGAAATGCTCAATTTCTCTAGCCATAAAAGAAATGCAAATCAAAACAACATTGAGATTCCACCTCACCCCAGTTAGAATGACTATAATCAAGAACTCTAATAACAACAGATGCTGGAGGGGATGTGGCCAGAAGGGAACCCTACTGTATTGTTAGTGGAAGTGTAAACTTGTTCAACTACTTTGGAAAGCAGTATGGAGTTTCCTCAGAAGACTACACATAGAGTTCCCCTATGACCCAGCAATCCCACTTTTGGGCATTTACCCAAACAATAATAAAGAAGGCCATACTAAAGCTACCAGTACAACTATGTTTATTGCAACATTATTCTCCATAGCTAAGATGTGGAACCAACCCAGATGCCCCTCAGTATATGAATGGATCAAGAAAATGTGATATCTATCTATCTATCTGTCTGTCTGTCTGTCTGTCTGTCTGTCTGTCTGTCTGTCTGTCTGTCTGTCTGTCTGTCTGTGCTGTCTGTCTGTCTGTCTGTCTGTCTGTCTGTCTATCTATCTATCATGGAATTCTATACCTCCATCAGAAAGAATGATACTGCTTCATTTGTTAGGAAATGCAAAGACTTGGAAAAATTATATTAAGTGAAGTAAGCCAGACCCAAAGAAACCTATGTCCCTTTTTCTCCCCCTTATCTGCACTAAGTAGTATATATCTAGGCCAAGCAGAGAAGATCTAAAGCTATGCACATATAACCATATAAGATGATGCTAAGTGAAATGAACCCCAAGAGAAGGACACAAGAAGTTTTATCTTTCTTGCTGTTGTTTCTAATGTATTTATAATGTACTATGTGATATTTTTGTTTCTTTTGTATGTTCTTCCCCCATGGTACAACCCCTGTTTTCACTGTATTTAATTCCAGTGCCCTGTATCTTGTATAATCATTTTTCTAATTTGGGGAGGGGAAGGGAAATAACAAAGTGCTGAAATAAGGGTACAGGTTGACCCATTGTAACAAGAGATGTAACAATGAGACTCATTGTAACAATGAGAAAATGAACTTTACAAATTTAGGATGGCAGGGGGGGGGGGCGGGGGGAGGGAGTAGTTGGGGAGATAGGACAGGAAGGGATGGTAGGGGAAAAACAAAGGAGGAGGTAACAATGCTTGATAGGAAATCTATTCATTACCTTACTCATGTCACTAACCCCTCTGTATAGTATATTTACAATAAAAAGTCTATACTAAAAAAAAGCAAATGGCAGGGTGTCAGAGGGAAAAATCTGTGAGAAAATAAGATAAGAGGTGGCACTGTTAGAAAAGAAATTTTCGCATTGACTTATATAACTATAACCCCTGTGTACATCACCTTTACAATAACAATAAAAAAGATGGTGGATGGAGGGGTTACAGTTACATAAGTCAAGGAAAGAATACAGTTCATTATGGAAAATATAACTCCCTCACTTTCTTGATGCAGCCCTTTTAAAGATTTCTCTTTTGAAGGAAGAATTACTTCCATAAATTTCATAGCTTTTCTCAGTATTTTAAAAGTCAAAACAAAAACTGGCAAATATGGCAACTAAATAAATGTCACTTATTCAGTCATTGGGGTATATTTTATATGCCACAACATGATTGGAGAACTGAGATTTTTTTAAAGTCCCTCCCTTCAAAGGAGGTCTCTGTCTAGTGCTCAGATCTGTAAACAGGCTATTATAGAAAATTATACTCTGATAAAAATTATGATAGAGAGGGACAGAGTATGCATACTCTGAAGGTTATGTGAGACAGAAGGGAACAAGCTTTTTTGAAGGGATAGCTAAGATGAGCATTCAAGGTAAGTCACTATTTGATTCAGAAGCTGGGAAAGGGATCAGGAAGGTGGGAAGGGGAATAAGAGGGCTGAGTGTGTTCAAAGGGCACTGTGAGCATATATGAAAATACCATAATGAAACCCTTCTCAGATTACAAATGTAGGGAATAGCAAAAACAGTCTGACATTACCAAAGAGTCCAGTGAATCCATGGAATTGCAGATATGGTATTGGCTGTCAGGACTTGAGTGATAGAAGGCAAGAGGGTGGTATTATAAGTTAGTAGCACAGGCAGAAGTATTGGGCCATGGAATTTGAATGGCACCCTGGACTCTTGCCAAGCCACTGAAAAGGATTTTAGCAAAGGAGAAACACTCTAACTTGGTGTTAAGTGAGACTTGAGTCTAGTGGCCAGAGGAAATCTGTGGTAAGCAAAGGGGACCCCCTTGAGCAATGATATTGAAAGTAGCATAGAGACATTTAAGGCTATGAAAGTGAAATTCACTGCTAGAGAGGTGGAAGGAAAGAGAGTGTTGAATAAGAAACAGTACTAGAGGGGTTGTATATGACCGAAGTATATTATGCATATATGGAAACATCATGGTGAAACCCTTTAACAATGCCACTTAAAAAGCCCTTACCTGTCTCTGGGAGAAAGAAAGAGAGGAGGGAGAAAAGGAGGGATACAGCCAGGTTCAGGTATTTAAGTCAGTAAAATCAGTATGACTATGGCTGAAGAGGGAGTCCAGCAAGCTTCTGGTATTGTACTAGGAGATACAGTAGGGTAGCTGTCTGAAGGGTGGAAAATGAGTGATTCTGTTAGTTGAGTTTGAACACCAGCAGGGTTTGGTAGAATAAGAGATTGCTACTTTGATGGCAGAGGAAGTTCTAAGCTGTTAACATGGGGTGAACAGTGTCGGAGGACAGGGTCTTTGAAGCAGTGGATGACTGTAATGAGAAGAGACAGTAAAGAAGAGAACATTGGTGCAATCTCAGTATTTACGATACAGGTAGCAGGAAAGAAGCTGGGAACAAGGAAAAGTGAGGGTGATAAGGAGAAAACCAAGTGCAAGCAGTATGGAGAGCAGGGGAGTAGGTTCCTTGGGAGTATTATGATGGTATTATAATATTGTGAATATAATATATAGTCTCTATGATGATAATATAGGATTATTCCAGAGTATTATAGTTGACTATTTGTATTTAGCAAAACCTAAATGTCACTAATCTCATTAAAGACTTATTTTCCTGA